CGGCCCACGGGCAGTGCTCGGCATGCCACGCGACTCTCCGTCTCTGCCGCTGCGCCCTGGTCTCGCGGCGTCCGCGGACGCGCGCCACCAAGGCGGTCCGCGCGATGGCTTCGCGGCGCAGGTCTTCCGCCTCCGCGGCGTCTCCGCGCGACCCGCACTCCAGCTGCGCGCGGAGGCTGGCGATGACCGCCGTCGCCTCCCGCAGCTCCCTGTCCAGCCGTCTCACCAGGTTGTCTGCCGCCCATCGGGCAGCCGCGATCCCGGCGAGCACCTCCCGCACCATTCTGCCCAAGCGCCCGCGCGCGGCGCGCGCCCGAGCACGGCCTGAGCCAAAATGGCTACGGAGTGTGTTCTGTGTGTTCTGCCATGCACCTGCGCGGTCTGCCGTGCTCCTGTGTGTTTTGCCGTGCTCCTCCGCATTCTGCGTGTTAAAGTTAAAGTTAAAGACGGGGCCTTCAAGGCAAGTGGTGGCCAGAAACACAGACAGGGCCAGACGGGGCCCGCGTTCCCTAAGGAAGCCGAGTCCAGAGACAAGCCCACCCGAGAGGGGCCACCTAAGGCCGCCTCACAACACGGGCCAGGGAAGGCGGACGGCAAAGCCGCTGGCTCAGGCCCCCAACCAGCCCAAGCCAATCATGCAAGCCCTGCGAGAACAGAAGCTACACATGATCACAACCCAAACTCGACTGCATTACAAATACACAACGTGTACATTCAAATGCAGGAGGCATAACTCACAGAACAACCAGCCCGACTGCATTGCAAACACACAACCTGCACATTCAAATGCAGGAGGCAAAATCACAACCCAAACTCGACTGCATTGCAAATACACAACGTGCACATTCAAAGGCAGGAGGCATAACTCACTGAACAACCAGCTCGACTGCATTGCAAATACACACCGTGCACATTCAAATGCAAGGGGCAGCACAAAACATTCACTCACGACCCCAAATTCGCTGCACTTCGCCCTCGGCGTCCTCGGTCGGCAGGGCCAGCTCAGCGAGCCTCGCGGCAGCTCGACCGCCGTCTCCGTCTCCACGGAGGAGTGCGGCTTCGTTCTCGCTGAGGTAGTCTGCGATCGCTCCACTGATCGCCAACTCAGCGGTGGCGGAGCAGGCAGTAGCAGCATCGCAGTCGGCATGCTCCTGTCCCTGGCCGCCTACGCTGTCGTCGTCGCTGTCGTTGTGGCTGACGGCCTCGCCCAGGCGGCCACCGACGGACAAAAACAGCGGTGAGGACACGCCAGCCGCAGGCACGGCATGGTCCACGAAGGCGCCGCGGTCGTCCCCGTCGCCGCCGCACACTCTCTCGCCGTCGTAGCCCACGATGCCCAGTGCGCCCAGCAACAGGTCGTCGGACGCGGCCGCGGCGGCTGCCACGCTTCCCACTTGCGATCCGGACCTGCACTCCAGGAGCGCTGGGCGCGGCGGCGGCGCCAGAGCGCACTCCGTCTGCCAAGCCGCCAGGGGCACCTCGGAGGCCACCTGCGGGGCCGAGAAGACAACGGCACCACACGTGCACCGCATCCCCGGTGGCAGCAGCGGCACGCGCTCAGCCAGGTGCCACCCCGCCGCCAGGCCCGAAACGAAGGACACCGTCTCGGCATGCGCCTTGGCCCACATGCCTGGCGCCAACCGCGGTTCCGAGAGGGCCTTCTCCAGGTCCACAGCATACAGCGCACCAGCGGGCAGTTCAGGAAGCGGGCCCGCCGCCCCCGCGCCTGCCAGCAGTGCGCACACATCCTCGTCAGGCTCACCGTCCAGCCGCTCCCCTAAGGCACCACCGAAGGCGCCCGCCTCGGGAGCCGCGGGCTTTGCGCCGAGCCTCGGGCCGTGCTGCGCCACGCGGAGCTGCGCAGCCCCAGCGCCCAGCAGGTCGATGCCCTCAGCTTCCGCATGGAGGGCCACGTCCCGTCTCAGGCGCTCGACCGCACTCGGCACCTCCCCACGGATGAGGGCAGCCAAGGCAGGGGCGGCCGCTGCCAAGCGCCTGCTCAGCTCGCCGTCCGCGCCCGCAGCCCCGAGGGCCGCCGCCAGGTCCTCGTAGAGCCTGCGCCAGGCCCGCGCCTCGAGCGACAGGCGGTGCACGGCTGCCTCAGCCGCCGCAGCCGCTGCCTTGCGCGCCTCCCGACGCTTGGCCGAGGATGGCCAGCCAGGGCCGCCGCTCGCATCAGGCCGACTGTCGCCACACGGGGCGACATCCCGCGCCATCATGCCCAGACGCCCGCGCGCGCGCGCCCGAGGCAGGCCTGAGCCAAAATGGCTACGGAGCATTCTGTGTGTTCTGCCGTGCTCCTGTGTGTTCTGCTGTGCTCCTGTTTGTGCTCCCGTGCTCCTGTGGGTTCTGTCGTGCTCCTGTGTGTATTGCCGTGGTCCTGTGTGTTCTGCCGTGCTCCCGCGCGTTCTGCAATGCTTCTGCGTGTTTGGCTGCCGTGTTTCTGCCAATCGTCTGAAGATGTCTCAGGCGAAAGGCTCAGTTTTAACACGCATGATCTTAAATCAGCCGTTTGAACATTTCATTGTTCGAGGAAGTCTCAGGCGATATCCCCATTTCCATACGTTTGTTAAATTCGCGGTTTTCATTTTCTGGTGGATGTCTCAGGCGAAATGCTCGTTTGTGTGAAAGACGGTGTTGCGAACAACTCATGTTTGTGAGGATATCTCCAGCGAGATGCTACATTTGAGGAATCTCGAGGGCGCTCTTGGGGTCATATTGGGCCTCGTGTGGGGCTGCCTCGACGTCATCAAAAACATGCCAATGCGATGTCACACACATCTCATTTTTGGAGGATGTCCCTAACGAAATCGTCATGTTGAGAAGCCTGGTTTGGGCCGTCTGGAAACCTTTTCAAGAGCGATTCCAAGACGAGGTTAGAACAGCAGAGTTTTCATAACGATGCCGTTGTATATGTTCATGTTCTGAAGATGTCCCTAGCGAAATCGTCATGTTCGGCAGTCTCCAAGGCGCTCTGAGAGCCATCTTGAGGTCCTTTTTGGGCTTTCATGTCTTCCACTTGAAGCACTTCAAGAACGATGTCAAGACGATGTTGAGAACATCTATCTTTTGAAGATGTCCCCAACGAGATGCAATTTTTCTGCCGGGCTCTTTTTTCTGGTCCGCCGTGCTGCCAAGCATTTTCCGAGGATGTCCCTCGCGAAAACACAGTTTTCAACATAAACGGCAGTAGAACACCTCCGACGACATGTGATTGTTGTGAGAATGTCTCAAGCGAAACGCAAATCTTTATCGATGGATGAATTTCGCGGCGACCAGTGTTTCGAGCATGTCTCGAGCGAAACGCTTGTTTTTATTGAACGCGACGTCGCGAAGATTTCATTGGCGTGATGATGTCTCGAGCGAAATCGCTTTTGGGGTGAATCTGCGAACGACTAGCTAGATGCAGCCCGCCATCCTATATTAATAAGATCTTTATTTGAAATGATGCTGATTCAGCCAGATCGTCCAGCTCGCTTCGAATACCTCGAAGACGCTTCCCGCCATCCGCCGGCCCCCTTGTGGGGCCACCAGGCTGTAGAACGAGGGTTTGCTGTTCCCTGCGCCAGTTCCAGTTTCCAGCTCTACTGTTACAGTTCTGCTTCTTGCTGCTTACTGTTCCTTGTTGATGGACCGCGCGAGGGGGGGGGGAGCCGAGAAGGAACCTGCCCGAAGGGGTGGGGGTTACCACGCCCGAAGGGACCGCCGAGGGGGGGGTACCACGCCCGAATCGCGTGCTCTGAATTCCTGGGGGGGGCGTGGGACACGTAAAAATATATGAAATTCGCGCCCCCGAAGCCATACACCCACGTAAATTACACAGTATTTGCGTCCCGGAGGCCATCAACCTTTGTAGATGACGCAATACTTGCGTCCCCGAAGCCAGAAACGCTTCCAAATCACGCGATATTCGCGTCCCCGAAGCCGTAAAACCGTGCAACTTATACAATAGTCCCGTCTCCGAAGCAATACATCTGCGTAAGTGACGCAATATTTGCGACCCCGAAGCCATAAACCCGGGTAAACTACATAATAATCGCGTGTCCGAAGCCATACACGCTCGTAAGTTAGGTGATGTTCGCGTCTCCGAAACCGTAAACCGGAGTAGATGATGCAATATTTGTGACCCCGAAGCCATAAACCTGTGTAAATCATGCAATAATAGCGTATCCGAAGCCATAAACCCTCGAAATACAGCACCGAACTCAACGATATCATCAGAATCTCAATGTGTCTTGCCGATTACTCATCGTCTTTGCGTGAAGTCCCGACGCTGCTTCACGGCGGCGCCAAGGCCTCATGATTTCGCTCTTGCATTGCCCATTATCCGAGAGAGGGGGCCGGCGGCAGGGGGCGAAGCCCTTACGGATATTCGGAACTACCCCTCCACTGGGATTAACTGTGCACATTTTCGTATTACGAGTTGCATACGTATTATTCAGCCCAATCGTCCATCCTAAATATGAATTCGCATATCCCAGGCTGGCCGGTATCGGTTCCCCCCCTCATCCTCTGCATAAGATATTTTTCGCGCGTGCTCGTCTATCAAAACCGTCAGTTTTCACAAATCCCTTGCAACAAGTGGGACGAAGTGCGCACGCGCACGTCCTCGGGCGCGCATGCCGAAATCCTTCAAACACCTTGAGTTCCGTAGGGATTTCAAAACGAGCGTCCTGAAACATATAAAAACGCATGGTGTCGCAACAAGGGTCTTCAAAAAAGAGCCTGCGCCCGCGAAGTGCCCTGAGACGCATGTCTTGCCGCCTGGCTGCGCAGTCGCTTGAGACCGGGCCATCAAACAGAGTGCATCTGGCATGGGCACCGTGGCCGCAGATCATTCGCATTAGGTCGGGCGTGTCCCCCTACAGGAAGATTTTGGAGGAAAGCGAAGAAATAGTGAAACAATACTCCAACATAGTCATTGAATCATAAAACAAATCGTCCCCTGATTATTTTTTGGCTATTTTTCAAGATTCCTCCTGTAGAGGAACAGGCCCGACTTAGCACTCGCATCCCTCTCCGACGGAACTTACCAGGCTGATGAAAAGGTGGTCGAATGCCCACCTCTTCCGCGTCGCGCAGGTGCAGGCCAGCCCCCGCTGGCACTTTTCATGGAAATCGAGAGGCACGGCCTCCCTCTTGGGATTTTTGTGGCTCTTCCCCCCCTCCCCCCCCCCCGCACCAGCTCCTCATCCATCACACCTCCCCCACCCCACCACCATTCCCCACTTCCTCGGAGAGGGAGGTACGCTGGCGTCACGATTTCTGAAAACGTCGCAGAGCGCCGGAGAGCGACGCCGTCTGCCACGGAGCTCCTCTCTTGCTTACTCACTGCAGAAGGTGCCAGGGATGCAGCGGCCAGCGCTGTACATGCGCTGCTGCCTTGGGCTGCAGCGCGCTGGAAATTGCTGCGTGGGCGGCGAAGCCACGCAACTACTCTAGCAGATATTACCCCATACAGCACGTTCTTCAGAGGCGACAGCGACATAAATGGTTTGCAGGAATCCGGCTGATCCAGGCTGCGAAGGTCACGTTGCATTGGCTTCGACACTGTTGTCTCTGAAGTATTATTGCATTCGCCGACCCCTTGGGGTATCAGCGCGGGAGATGTCTGGCCCTCCCCAACCCTGTCACGGGGGGCTCGATTTGGAACGTTTGGAAAAACAGTTTGGCTTGGGGGGCGCAGCAATACCAAAACAGCCATGGGCGTCCGAGATGCCCCAGGAGGGCTCTGGGACGTCGCCGAGACAATGAGCCACAAGAGGCTCACGAGGGCCCCCCGAGAAAGCGAGCCCCGGGACACCACACACACCACACACACACACGCCACGCACACACACACACACCACGCACACACACACGCACACACACGCACACACACGCACACACACACACACGCACACACACACGCACACACACACGCACACACACACACACACACACGCACACACGCACAAACGCACTCACGCACACACGCACACACGCACACACGCACACACGCACACACGCACACACGCACACACGCACACACGGACACACACAACACACACACACAACCTACACACAACACACACACACGCACACACACACACACACACGCACACGCACACCCAACTGCACACGCACAAGCACACACACAAACACAAACACACACACAAGCACACGCACGCAAACACACACACACACACACACACGCACACGCACAACGCACACACACAGACACACAGACACACAGACACACATATTCACAGACACACAGAAACACAGACACAGAGACACAGAGACACACAGACTCAGACACAGACACAAAGACACACAGACACAGCCACACAGACACACAGACACAGACACACAGACACACAGACACACAGACACACAGACACACAGACACACAGACACAGACACGCAGACACACAGACACAGGCACACAGACACAGACACACAGACACACAGACACAGACACACAGACACACAGACACAGACACACAGACACACAGACACACAGACACACAGACACACAGACACACAGACACACAGACACAGACACACAGACACACAGACACAGACACACACACACATAGACACAGACACACAAACGCAGACACACAGACACGGACACTCAGACACAGACACACAGACACACAGACACACAGACACACAGACACACAGACACACAGACACACAGACACACAGACACACAGACACAGGCACACAGACACAGACACACAGACACACAGACACAGAGACACAGACACACAATCACAGACACACAGACACACAGACACACAGACACACAGACACGGACACACAGACACAACAACACAGGCACACAGACACAGACACACAGACACAGACACACAGACACACAGACACACAGACACAGACACACAGACACAGGCACACAGACACAGACACACAGACACACAGACACACAGACACAGACACACAGACACACAGACACACAGACACACAGACACACAGACACACAGACACACAGACACAGACACAGACACACAGACACAGACACACAGACACAGACACACAGACACAGACACACCGACACACAGACACACAGACACAGACGCACAGACACAGGCACACAGACACAGGCACACAGACAGAGAAACGCAAACACAAACACACAGACACAGACACACAGACACAGACACAGACACAGACACACCGACACAGACACACAGGCACAGACACACAGACACACAGACACAGGCACACAGACACAGGAACACAAACACAGACAAACAGACACAGACACACAGACACAGACACACAGACGCAGACACACAGACACCGACACAGACACGCAGACACATAGACACAGACACACAGACACAGACACACAGACACAGACACACAGACACACAGACACAGACACACAGACACACAGACACACAGACACAAAGACACAGACACACAGACACAGACACACAGACACAGACTCAAAGACACAGACACAAAGACACAGGCACACAGACACACAGACACAGACACACAGACACACAGACACAGACACACAGACACAGACACACAGACACACAGACACAGGCACACAGACACAGACACACAGACACAGGCACACAGACACACAGACACACAGACACAGACACACAGACACAGACACACAGACACAGACACAGACACACAGACACACAGACACAGACACAGACACACAGACACAGACACACAGACACAGAGACACAGACACACAGACACACAGACACAGACACAGACACACAGACACACAGACACACAGACACACAGACACACAGACACACAGACACACAGACACACAGACACACAGACACACAGACACACAGGCACAGACACACAGCCACACAGACACAGACACAGACACAGACACACAGACACAGACACCCAGACACACACACAGACACACACAGACACACACACACAGAGACAAACACAACAGACACACACAGACACACACAGACACACACACACACAGACACACACACACACACCGACACACAGACACACACACAGACACACAGACACACAGACACACACACAGACACACACACAGGCACACACAGAGACACACACAGACACACACAGACACACACACACACCGACACACACAGACACACACACAACACACACAACACACAACACACAACACACACAACACACACAGCACACACAACACAACACACACAACACAACACGACACAACACAACACAACACAACACAACACACACAACACAACACAACACAACACAAAACACAACACAAGACACACAACACAACACAACATAACACAACACAACACAACCCAACACAACACAAGACAACTCAACACAACACCACAACACCACAACACCACAACACCACAACACCACAACACCACAACACACAACACACAACACACAACACACAGCACACAGCACACAACACACAACACACAACTCGCAACACACAACACACAAGACACAAGACACAAGACACAAGACACAAGACATAACTCACAACACACACCACACACAACACACACACACACACGCGCACGCCCGCGCGCCCGCACGCACGCACGCACGCACGCACGCCCGCGCGCCCGCACGCACGCACGCACGCACGCACGCACGCACACACGCACGCACGCACGCACGCACGCTCGCACGCACGCACACACGCACGCACGCACGCACGTACACACACTCACACACTCACACACTCACACACTCACACACTCACACACATACACACACATTCGCACCCATTGACACATCCAGGCGAGCACACATCAACACATGTTCAAAATACATTCCCTCATGCCTCCTCCAGATCAGCGTGCGCGACCTCACAGACATACTCACGCACAGACACACACACACCAACACGCACACACACAACACACACACAACACACACACACGCACACACGCACGCACGCACGCACGCACGCACACACGCACACACACACACACACGCACGCATACAAACACACACACACACTTCTAAGTCGGCGGCGACGAAGATCCCCAGACGCGGACGGCTGTTGGAAGTGCAACTTGCGATCGAGAATTGTCGAAGGCACAATGCGCAGACGTGCGCACTATCGAATGCAGCGAAGCGTGCACCGGACAGAAAACCGAGGAGACAACTCAACTCGACGCAAACTGAAACGCGAACAGTCTGGTGCGCGTTGGCGGCCACTGAATCACCAAGGAAGGTGTTAGACAACGAAGCGCAATACAACATTGAAATAACTGCACCGGCTGCCAGATCAGTCGAACTGACACACACACACATACACGCACACATACACACAATTCCAAAAAGCATTACCTCCTCCGTCCTCCGACTCACCACGTGCGTTAGCGCATACGCACCCAGTGCCACACACGGTCACGCACACACCAACGGTCGGTGTCCCAATCCCGGAAAATGCGGGCGGAGCACTCCAAAGCCGAAAACGAAAAATTCCCAATCCTGGAGAAACGAGCAGCCCAACGCCCGTCGGCCAACCTTGGAAAAGGGAAAAAGCCCAACCCTGGACCCCCACCCGAGCATTGGAAAGGACGGCCGATGGAGGAGGAGAACAAGGAGGAGGAGGAGGAGGAGGAGGAGGAGGAGGAGGAGGAGGAGGAAACCCGTGCCCGGCACGGCGGATGACGCCAAGCCCGGCGCGCCCCGCCGGCGCAGAGCGGCGGGCGCCCCGAGCATAGGAAAGCACAGCAGGAGCAGAAGGAGGAGGAGGAGGAGGAGGAGGAGGAGGAGGAGGAGGAAAGGAGGAGGAGGAGAAAAGGAGGAGGAGGAGGAGGTGGATGAGGTGGAGGAAGAGGAAGTGGAGGAGGTGGAGGAGGAGGAGCGAGCAAACCAACAAAACCCTAGAATACACTGCATCTAGTTCACGACGTCGAATGCACCACGTCGAACGCACCACACATATTGCACCAACTCGGCTGCATCACGCAAAGTGGACCACGTAGGTTGCACCACCACCGCGGAGGTTGCATAACATAGACTGCACAACGTAGGTTTCACCAAATCTATTGCACAGCATCAGTTCTCCTTTCGAGAAAAAAATTAAAATCTCCCCCCTTACCCCAGGGTTAACAGGCCACCGTTTCGTATAGCACTTTGCGTGCGATATTGCTCCGTCGCCAATCCTAAGTATGAAATTGTACAGTCCGAAGCGATCCCGGTATCGAGTTCCCCCCTCATCCTTGTAAAATAAAAGTGTGTGCGCGCAGTCGTTTATCAAAAACCATCAGTTTTCAATCAGCCCTTGAGGAAAGTGGAAAAATGCGCACGAGCGCGTCGTCGCGCACGCGTAGGTGTCGTAGCGATTTCAAAATCGCAAAACCATACAGAACCACACGGATTCGCAGCTCGGGCTCTCAAAACAAAACTTGCGCGCGCTCTTGAGAATTCTCACTACAACCATCTAGTTTTCAAGATTTTCACGAAATGCTACCAGACGGGCTGCGCGCGCGCGTGGCGAAATCGTTAGAACCCCCTTGTGCGCGTGCTGCCGCATAAGTCTTTGCAAACATTGGGGCGAAGTAGGCGCGCGCGTC